TGTGTCTATTTGGTGATTTTCCCAATACATTTTTGTTGTTAGTTTTCTGGTTTAATCTCCTTACAGCCATAGAATATATTTTGTATGGTTTCTAGTCTCTTAAATTTGTTGAGATTTTTTTAAATCACCCCCCAGGGGGGATGGCCACGCCGCAATCCCTTCTCCTCCATTCTCCTCTCGGGATCTTGGGCACGCACACTTTCAGTAATTCTGTGTTTGGTGAAAAAAAACAAAGGAAAGGACTGATAAATAATAGCCTTATTGCCATGTTATCACCCACATTATTATGAATATCTTATCTCTATTTTGTTTTTCTTTTTCTTTTTTTGGAGATATTTTTGCTATAGGGTGAGTGTGCTCACCAGAGAGACAGAGAGAAAAAAAGTGAGAAATCACCCCAATGGGGATGGCCACATTGCAATCCCATCTCCTCCTTTCTCCTCTCAGGATTTTGGGCACATACACACTTGAACCTGGTGTGAGTTTCAAGCTGCCAAGTCCAGGACTCGAACCATGGTCAACCATGTGGGACTCCAGCACCTTAACCACTACAGCACTGGCTGGCCCCAAGATTTACTTTTTGACGTATGATATAGTCTATTATAGGACATGTAGACCAGAATTCAAACCACATGACCAGTCATGTGGGTTCTAGCACCTGTAACCACCAACCCCGTTTGGTTCTTTTTTTTATAGCTTCTATCTCTCTGCTAAGAATTTTTATCTTTGCATTTGTTTCAAGAATGTTTGTTCTGGGACCAGCAGGTGGTGTGGTGGTTAAGGCGTTGAACTCCCACATGGCCAATTGTGATTTGAGTCTCAGACCTGCCTGGTGGCTTACTTTCTCTCTCTCTCTCTCTCTCTCTCTCTCAAGCACAGGTGCCCTGTAGCAAATTAAATAAATAAATTTTTAAAATGTTTTAAGAAGGAAAAAAATGAATTTTTTTTCTGCAGCTGCTAGGTGGCATGGTGGTTAAGGCACTAGATTCCCACAAGAACAACCACAGTTCAAGTCCTGGACCTGGTGGTTTGCTTTCTCACTTTTCCTCTCTCTCTCTCTCTCTCTCTCTCTCTCTCTCTTGTCAAAAATAATAATACTAAATAAAATTAAACAAATAATTCTTAAAATAACCCAATGAACAGAAAGAATGTTCTTATTTCCTAGAGTATGTTTATAATAGCTGACTTGAACACTGTGTGGTCATTTCAACATTTGGACCATCTCAAATTAGTATCTGTTAATTATTAAAAATCCTGAGATTTTCTTCGCTGTTGTTGTTTGAGTGCTTTTGGGTTGTATCTTGGACTTTTTCAATGTTCTTCAATAAGACTCTGGACCCTATCAAAACCCTCTGGGCAACGTTAATCTTTCTGAGTTTTGCTGGCAATCAGTGTGGTTAGATTCAGACCTCAGTCCAGATCTGCCCCCAGGGGGCGGTGGTTCCAATGCAAATTCAATTTTCAAAGTCTTTGTAGTGTATTCTGATCCACCTCACATTTGTATTCCCTGGTTCCTGTCTGCAACTTCAGCAGTGGTCTATCCATGATTTAATTCCCAAAGCCTTTGATATGTTCTTTGGGGTCATTGCAATGCACACACAGCTCAGAATGAGCCTGGAACATTATACACAGCTTAATAATCTCCTCCTTACTGACTTGTCCCATACCCTCTGGCTTCTGGGGGCCCCCTTCTTGGCCTCCTTGCACTGACAGATACACCTCTTGGTCAAGTGACTCTTAAGAGCTTTTCTGCTGCCGTAGCTGCTGCCACCACTACCTTGGGCTTATAGGATCAGTCCAAGAGAAGGAACATAAATGGGTATTTCTCCCATTCTCCAACCTCAGGGCACTCCTCTGTTCACTGCCCAGAAAGGAGATTTCTCTTGGCTGCCCTCACTGTGCTGCTCTGGGATTCAGGGAGGATCATAATGCTCACTGAGATCTCAGCCTTTCCCTGGGTCCCCCCAGTCTGTCTGCTTTGTTTTATTCTGTATGTGTAGTTAGCTGTGGCCAGTGATAGTTGAGTGGATTGTGCGTCTCATCTTAGCTGGGACCAGAAGCCTTTGATGTTTTCTCTTCTAAATATTTTACATTTCATTTTATTTTTGAAATTTAAGTAGAATTTACATATTGATACTCATTTTCACAGGACAATCCAATGCTTTTTAGTAAACTCTACAGAGTTGTGCTATCATCACTACAGTACAACTTCAGAATATTTCCATCATCTGCAAAAGGTTCTCCTCCTTGGTGGTTACTATCTCTGAGTTTCCCTTTAAAGATAAAATATCTCAAGAATACAGAAAAGTGTGTAGTGAGCCAACACCCACATGGCCACCATCCTATTTTACCAAATTGTAATGTTTTCGCCTTAATTGGCCCAGAATGGTTGCTTTCTTTCATCTTTTCTTCTTTCTTGTTTTTTATATTGCCAGAAGATATGTGCACTCACCAGAGAGGGGCAGAGATACAAAGACAAAGCACCTCCCAAATAGGGCCTTGTCATGCCGCGATACTGTGTCCTCCATTCTCCCTTCTTGTCAGGATCCTGGGCACATGTGCATATGTGTCAAAGTATTTTTCAAGCTTCAGGGGCTGAGATTTGAACCACAGGGGGCCATGTGGGATCCAGCTCCCTCTACACAGTACTTAACCACTGTGCTATGGGACCAACCCATTGAATTACATCCGCTCTGTATTATTTCTATGTTATATTAGTTAGTGTTTTTGTTTGTTTGTTTGTTTGTTAGAGACTTTTGCCTTAGGGTGTGTGCATTTGCCAGGGAGAGAAAGAGAGAGACAGAGATGGTGAGAGGGAAGTGATAAATCACCTCCCCAGGGATGATTGCCATGCTGTAATCCCTTGTCTTCTATTCTCCTCCCAGGATCTTGGGCACACACACTCATGTACCCTGGTGTGATTTTCAAGCCACTGGGTCTGGGACTCAAACTACAGCCAACCACATGGGAGTCTAGCAATGTAACTGTTATGCCATCTGCTGGCCCCCCATTTGTTAGTACTTTTTACATATTTTCCAGTCTTCAATGTCATTCTCTCTCTTTTTTTTAAAAGAATTATTTTATTTAACTTTATTTATTTATTTATTTTAGTTGGACCAGAGAGGAACAGAGTGAGAATGAGAAGAAAGAGGAAGTGAGAAATCAAGCCACCAGATCCAGGACTCGAACCATGGTCGACCATGTGGGAGTCCAGTGCCCTTATCCACCATACCACCTGCCAGTCCCAATGTCATTCTCTTTTAACAGTATTGTTTTTTAGAGGTTTTTGCCTTGGGGCATGTGCTCTCTCTGGAGAGAGACAGAGACTGACAAGGAAAGGGAGAAATCACTCCTTAGGAGGGATGGCCATGCTGCAATCCCTTCTCCTTCATTTTCCTCCCAGGATCTTGGGCACGCATGCACACGCGCCCAGAGTGAGTTTCAAGCCATGAGGTCCAGGACTCAAACCATGGTCAACTACATGAGAGTACAGCGACATAACTGCTAGGTCATCTGCTGGCCCTTCTCGTTTATCTGGCAGTCATTTTTACACTTTTTTATTTTCTTTATTCTCTTTGTTTGCTGTAGGGCATGTGTGTGTGTATGAGTGAGAGAAAGGGAGAGAGAGAGAAAGTGAGAAATCACCCCCACCCAGGGAGGATGGCCACACTGAAATTCCTTCTCCAGTCTCCTCCTTGGGATTTGGGGCACACACAAACACGTACCTGGTGATTTTCAAATCACCCAGTCCAGGACTCAAACCCCACAGGCAGTCATGTGGTATCCAATGTGCTAACCTCCACACCACCTGCTGGCCCACACGAATTTTACTATTTCAGTCATGTTAAATGTACATTTAGTGGCCATGGGTATGTTCAGTGTTGTGCCACCAATCCCACCATCCATCCCCAGAACTTTTTCATCTTGCAAAACTGAAACCATTGAACAACCTCATACTTCCTCTAAAAGCTCTTAAAATTTTTACTGCAGTAAACTGTACACATTTACAAAAGTAGAAAGCATAGTTTAATGAACCACCATTGCTCAACACAGCGTCAGTAATTACTGACTCATGGCCAGTCTTGTCTTATCTCTGCCTCCACCCGCTCTCCCCCATCCCTACCACCCCAAACCATCACATCATGCCAGCTGTAATCATTTCAACATGTGACTCTTAAAAATGTGGACTCATTAACATGACCACAAAACTACCACCACAACTAAAAAAAATTAATAGTAATTTAGTAATGTGATTCATGCATTGTGATTGGTTAATATGTCTCTTAAGTCTCTTTATCTGTAGATTCTCTTTCTTTGTCTTTTGAATCTTGAAGTTTATTGTTTATCTTGTAGGATTTTCCCCAGTCTAGATATGCTGGTCGTGTCCCTGTGATAATCATTTAACAAATCCCTCTGTCTCTTGTTTTTCCTATAAACTGGTAGTTAGCTCTAAAGGCTTGATCTGATTCAGGCTCAGTAGTAATTATTCTTATTTTTATTTTATTTATCTTAAATCTCATTGTTAGTTCATCAAGATTACATTATAAAGGTGTGTGCATACCATCTGGCACGTCTGACGTGCAGGCAGTGACCGTTACCTCCTAGTCTAGGCAGACCTCCGGCTGCTTACACTCTGCTTTTCAGCAGTCTGGGGACTCTGTTTCCCTGAGCAAGCTTTCCTGCTCAGGGTCTCATTTCTTCTTCCTTGATGGGAGCTCTTTCCTTTGCCCGGTGCTACTGAATGTGGATCTCATGGAGTCCAGCTGCTGCCACTGTCCTCCGTGGTTCCAGCCCTCCTCGGTGTGGCAGGGTCCCTTGGTGCCACCCCAGATTCCCGTCACAAGAATGTGAGTGGTCCCTCGCTTTACATTCCTCACTTCTCGGAATGAGTGGTGCTGCCTACCAAAGAGGCCGTTGCTTTCTGACACTCCCATGGGAGTGGGTGCAGAGCAGAGGGGCTGGGTGACAGCCTCACATGGTGCAATCAGCCACATGTCACTCTCCTTCCTCCTCAGAGCTAACAACAGGAAGCATCGGGCCCCCACAGTGGAGCCTCCGTAGTGTCTTCCAGACGTGATCTCAGGGCCAGCCTGGTGACGGGCCAGCAAAACCACCTCTGAGGAAGCCAGGACACGCAGTGCAAGGGCTCCAGGACCAAGCAGGGTGAGTGCATTGTGGCCCGTGTCCACATTGGTTCTTAAAAGGAACAATTCAGTCCTTAGTTTTTTCCAAGGGAGACAGCTTCACTTGAGACTCTGGCCATGGGGTGGGACCCAATGCCCTTTTCCATACCCTGGTCCAAGAGTGTCTTACAGAAAGGGGGGTCTCAGGATTGTCTACTCTAGGACCCCTGTAACTGACATCTGGCCAGAGGAAGTGCCCTGCCACCTGTGGGCCAGCTTCCCTGGAGTGCTGGAGCGTCTAAGGTGGGGCAGAGATGACCCAAAGGGGGGTGGGCCTAGCACAGCAGGAGGATGTGGTACTGATGCCCAGACCTCTGGCCAGGCCCAAGTCTCCAACAGGCCACAGGCACTGGCTGAGCCATTGAGGAAGTGGGAGCTGTGAAGCCTAGCAGGGCCAGACAGAGGCTGGGTGGTTCCCAAGATCACAAGGCTGGTGGGGGGCACTGGCATGGCTGGGCTGTGTAGGATGGTCCCAAGGCCTTCTCCCGGAGCTGCTGTGCCTACCTCATCCTGCCCAGGCAGTCCCCTTCTCCCCTGTTTCTTGTCGTCAGTAGGAGATTCGTCTTCTGGCCCAGAATGTGTGTGTGTCTGTATATCAATGGTGTGTGTATATGAATGTGTGTGGTGAGTGTCTGTGTATCTGTATGGCATGTGTCTATGTGATGTGGGTATGTGTGTGGTTGAATGAGTGTTTGTGTATATGGTGTGTGTGGGAGGGTATGCGTGTATGAGTGTGTGCATGTGGTATATGTATATGAGTGTGCACATGTGGTGTGTATCTATGTGGTGTGGTTGAGTAAGTGTATATGTGTGGCCTGTGTGTCTGTTTGTATCTCCACGCTGGACGTCTGTACAATGTACTTGTGTGTCTGTGGGTGCCCATGTGCCCTGTGGTCCGTCCCTCCTCCAATTTTCAAACTTTCATGTCCAGCTCATCTGATGTGAAACACTGGATGGAGGCTGTGTTTTCAGGGACAGGCATTAGCTTGAGGCTCTGGTTCAGACCCAGCAAATGGATTGAGCTTAGAGGCTCAGGCTCCTAGAGGCTGTTCCCAAGGTCTAGGATCCTATGGACCCTGCACTCAGGGGGCTAGTATTCCTCATCTACACTGCTATACCATGAGCCTTGCCCTCTGATGGTGCTGGACCTCCAGATGGGCAGTGAAGGGGGCCACTGTGATGGGGGAGGATGAGCTGTGGGGCAGAGGAGCCACACCCTGACCCACCTTCCCACAAGGACAGAGTGGCATCTGTGGGCTAGAGGCAGGTGCCACATTCTGGAACTGACAGAAACTCTGCTATGTGCTCTGCACGCCACCTCAACACCAAGTGTTGTTCACAGATATCACTAATATCTCTTCCTTAAAGCTTCCTTAGGACTTGTGGTGGCAAAAAGAAACAGAACCATTAGCGATATGGCCCTCAACTACTGGACGAGGCCTGCCTACACTACAGAGGTTGTACGAGCAAATGGTAGCCAGGACATGTGGGCTCACTGTCCACTGCCCAGAGTTTGCTCTGACTCCCAGCACTACTGCCTGGGCCTCCCCAGCCATGAGCTGGCACAGTGTGACACACTCTCCCTTCCCACAGGGTTTAGATGTGAGAACAGGGCTGGGCCTAACTTCCTGGATGCACTGATCTGGCCAGTCTGAAATGCAGAGACCTCTATGCCCAAGTGGTGCAATTCTGCTGTGCTGGAAGCTTCCATTAGAGGTCATCTTGGTGATTGCACCCAGGCTGCAGCTGGAAGTGGTCCAAGGGATCCCCTGGCTGACTGAGGAGTTAAGGTCAGGGCTGAGGCTGACAGGAGAGACCTCATCAAGCCAGGGCTCCTGCCTGGGAGGGACCCTCAGAGACCAAATCAAACTGAGGCTGCCCCATGTGGAGGGGACCCCAGGGGTTGCCCCAAGTATTGGAGTGTATGTTTTTCCCCAGCCCTCCAGGGGCTGAGGGCACATGGAAAGCCATCCCCAGGGGAACAGCTTCCTGCCCAGTTGATTATTAAATGGTGTTGATGTGGCCGCATTGGCCTTCACTGTGGGAGGTCTGAAAGTGATGGAAACTCAACAGAGAGAGCAGCTCTTACGCCCCCATAGCCTTCCCAGAGAAGGGACCAGTGTTCTGTGAGGGACTGAGTGAGGACTAAGTGGGTTGAGTCACAAGCAGATGCCCAGCAGGGAGGGAGGTTGCTGAAATCTCAGCAAGTGGGAACAGTGGTAGCTTTTGGATTCAGAAAGACAGTTTCAGGGTAATCTATCAGCCACCATGGAACTCAGAATTTAAATATGTCATTATAGAGCCAGCCCGGTAGCCTAGTGGTTAAAGGAACTGGAGCTCTTGGGGCTAACTGTGATTTGAGTCCTGACACCAGAGGTTTGAAAAACATGCTGGGCCCGTGAGCATGCTCCAAATCCCAACATGGTGGAGAAATGGAGAAGAGATTGCAGCATGACTGTGCCCCACTGGGGGGTATTTTCTGTCTCCTCCTCTCTCTGTCTCTCTGGTTAGCACATGTGTTCTTTGGCAAAGAAAGTAAACTAACTAAACTAAATTAAACAACAACAATTTTCAAACTTTCCACTTGATAGCTACACAAGAAATCTAGTTGTTGGACTGGCATGCCTGGTTATTAGCAAGGACAACTTATCATATGTTGATTAACTAATTACATTTCTTCTTTTGTGATTATCTGTTCATGACCAGAAGCCTTTTTTTTTTTTTTTTTTTTTAAGTTTTGCTCTATGGCACATACACTTGCTGGACAGAGAGAGAGAGAGAAATAGAGAAATCATCTCCCTAGGGGGATGGCCATGCCACAATCCCTTTTCCTCCACTTTCCTCTTGAAATTTTGGGCATACATGCATACACTCCTGTCATGTTTTCCAAGCCTTTGGGACCAGGACTTGAACTGCAGAATTGACCATGTAGGATCCAGCCTCCTTAACCAAACCTTGCCACTTGGCCCTCTACGGGGCATTTACTTTTTTGTTATTCATTTCTAGGATTTTTTTTTTTGAGAGATTTTTGCTATACTGCACATGTACTTGCCAGAGAGACAGAGAGACAGAAAATGAGAAATCACTCCCCAGGAGGATGGCCACACCACAATCCCTTCCCCTCCCTTCTCCTCCCTTCCCCTCTCAGGATCTTGGGCATGTACGCACATGCACTTGGCATCAGTTTTAAGCCACTGGGTCCGGGACTTGAACCACAGTTGACCACGTGGGAGTCCAGCAACATAGTCATTATGCCATCTGCTAGTCCCAATTTCTAGCATCTTTTTAGAGATGTATATTACCACCTTTTGCACTAGACAGATAATGGATATTTTCCTGTGTAATTTAGTAATGTACAAAGTTTGCCATTTTTTTAGACTACCTTCTTGACATTTTTCTTCCTTAGTTTCTATGTTTAGGTTTCCTTACTCTGAGATATTTATTCTCCCATTTATTTCATTGTTTTATTCTCTAAAACTGTGTTTATGCACATTTGTCGTTCGTTTGTGTCCACAACAAAAGGGCCTCCGGCGTCCTGTCTCCATCCAGGCACACAGAGTGTCCTCTCCTGTTCTAGCGTCTGCAGATATGGGTCGATTTTCTCTTCAACTTAGGAGATATTTGCTTAGTGGTGTGTTTTTAAATTTCTATTTATTATGTGTGTGAAGGGGTCTCATTTATCCCATTTGGTCAGAAACTTGGCCATTAACAGTTCTACTCTCAGGACTAGCAGTGTTGCTGGGTTCCTACATAGTCAACCATGGTTTGAACCCTGGCCCCGGTGGCTTAAAACTCACGCCAGGTGTGTGTGCGTGTGTGCCCAAGATCCCGAGAGGAGAAAGGAGGAGAAGGGATTGCAACATGGTCATTCTCCACAGAGGGGATGATTTCTCGCTTTCTGTCTCTCTCTCTCGACAGTGAGCACACAAATCCTATAGCAAAATCTCTCTCTCTCTTAAAAAAAAAAAAAAGTTCTGCTCCCAGCCCCAGCGTTTGACAGAGAGAAAAAGCCTCATAGACTTGGAAAAATATACTCTGTAAGGTTAGAGATTCAGAGTTCAAGTTTTCCTCCGTCCCCTCCACTCCCCTGGTTCTCTCTGCTACACTCATTTCTTGTCCCTTGGTTCTGTCTGGACACTGGAACTCAGCTTCTGCCCAGCTCCTGCTTGCATTTATATAAAGCAAAAACAGGTCCTAACGCTCCGGTTTGAGATAAAGGTTGGAGCTATGTTAGCGCCATTGGCAGCGTTTTCTCACTCTGAGAAGCAACCCTGAGTCCTACAGCTCCTGGAATGAGTCTCAGCTCCTGCCTTCTCTCCTTTCTGACCTTCTCCACATGTGGGGCCTGCCCACTGTTTCCTGCTCACCTCTCTGTGTCTCTTGAGTTGGGGTGCCTCTGTGTGTTTAACTATCCAACCCCAGACGGCTGGGGCAGGCCCCACTGCACTTCTGATGGGTGGGTGAGCCTGCGAGGCCTCTACTTTCTCAAACAGCCTGGCCCAGGGCTCCACAGTGCCACACCTCTGTCCTCAGGAGGACGGTCCAGCTGGGCTCACAGTCCAGCTGGGCTCACATTCCAAGCTCACAGCACACCCTCCCTCTGCTGTCCCGCTCACATTTCCCTTTCTTGTGTTTCTTCTCATAATTGGCCATTAAAAGTTCTGCTCTCAGGACTAGCAGTGTTGCTGGGTTCCTACATAGTCAACCATGGCTTGAAACCTGGCCCTGGTGGCTTAAAACTTGGCCACATAATTCTATTTTTGCATGAATGTGGGGACATTTAGCAGGGTCCTGTTCTGCTTCTCCTTTGAAGCCACTTTCCCTGCTCAGAGCCTGGGGTGGAAGGGAGGAGGGTCAGGGCTTTGTCCATCACACAGTAGGATCCACTGGGTGCAGGGCAGTGAAGAGCCAGCCTCCACGGGGCTTGGGGAAGGTAACCCAGACCTGTGGTGCAGGGGACCTGGTGACAAGCATCACCTCCTACAGTTGTTCCCAGGTTGCTCTGGTGCCTCCCTGGTGGGCAGGGCAGAGGCCCAGGGCCTGTGGTGCAAACTGCAGTTTCCTTAGTGGCCTGTGTACCTTGAGATCTGGGCAGCCTCTGCCAGAGCCCAGCAGCTGGAGGAGGAGGTGCCCACACCTCCATGGCCTGTTGGTGTCTCACTGCCAGGCTGGGCCCAGGTGGCCTGAGAGGAGCCTGAGCTCCTGTTGGCTCAGCCCTGGGGCCCCAGGACAACAGTGGCCAGGTGTCTCCCCATTCACTGTTGTCCTGCTGAGCTGAGGCCTGTGTGTGCCAGGCACCAAGTGTGGCTCTCCACGTGCGTGTTGCAGAGCTGGGGCAGGTCCTGTGATCACCGCCAGTTACACAAGGGAAACCGAAGCAGGGCAGCCTGGAGGGACCTTGTTCTCTCAGGTCTTGGGGACGCTGGTTTCAGGAAGGCCTGGGCTACCAAGGGCCAGTTCTGGTTGCTGACAGGGGGAGGGGCTGCCCTACCCAGCTTTCCCTCGCAGAGGAGGGCTGGCTGCCCAGGCTCTGAGATTTGCCTTACCTCCTGGAGCTTGGCCTTTGTCCATTTGTCCTCTGAGCATGTGGGCTCAGCTGTGGGTCAGGGGTGGGGCCTTACTCCTCTCCGTAGCCCAGCTCCGAGCCTCCCCAGGGCTGGCCTCTTCCACCCAGCTTCCTGTGGTTTAAGCCAGGCCACTGTGGTCTGTGGGTCGTCCTGCTGTAACCGAGGTACGCAGTGTGCTCTCCTCTCTCTGGCAGTGGGGGGTGTGCACAGGTGCAATCGGCACCAGGTCCACGTCCTGCTGCTGCCCGGCCCTCAGTTTCCTCTGGAGAATCTGAGGAGATTTTGTGCAGGCCATTGTATGTGTTTTGGGGGGTCCAATCAGTGGTCACAGGAGGGATAGGGAGCTGCCTTGACTGGTGAGGGCCAGCTGCCCTCCTGGCCATGTGCACAGCTTGGAGTATTGTGCGGAAGCCGCTCCCTGCTCTATGCGGCTACTGCGGCCTCTGAAGGGTCATCCTGAGGCCAACTGGACCTTGTAGCCTGGGGCGGCACCAGTGTGCAGGTCATAAGGACAAATGGGAACGCCCACATGGACTGAGGGTCAGTGGCTATGCGGTGGCTCTATGGACAGTCCAGCTATGGAATTCTAGTAGCCTTAGCCTGAACAGCATTCAACAGCAGCCTTAGCTGGAGCCCCACACCCCAGTGGTGTGAGGCATGGGGTGTCTGAGAAGCAGGTCTAGGGCGAGCTGAAGCTGCTACTCCTGTCTCATTGCTGTGACCCAGGAAGCCAGACCCCCCTCAAGTTCTGCTTTTGGCCCCAAACAGGAAGGACCATGGTGCTATTTTGACCTTTCTGGGCCCTGATATAATTTTAGTAAGGACCAGAGACCAGAGTCACCTCCAACAAGACAGGACGTTGAGGTTGTTGGGGGCTCTAAGCCTCAGTCCTCAGTGGGAGGCCCTGACTGGTACTCCACTGGCTTGAGGCCCAGAGCAGAGGCAGGGTTTCGGGGAGGAGGGTAGACAGAGATCAGACAAGGGCAGACTCCACCAACTAGATACTCCCAGAGTCCCACAGGCTACAGCTGGAGGCTGAGCTATGTCCTCAAAGTCACTGGGGCCTGGGTCAGAGCCCTGCTGGCCTGGGTCTGACCGCTGAACCTCAGGGCCTCAGGCAACCACTATGGCAGAGAGCAAGCAAGCGTGTGTGTGTGTATGTATGTGTGTGTGTGTGTTCACACTGGGGCAGGGTGCCCAGCAGCCGCAGAGACACCTGTCGGAGGAACTGGCACCCACAGGGGCGGGGTGGGGGGAGGCGTGCTGATCTGTGCTTCTGATAACATGTACCCTTCCTCCTACCACCTCCTCAGAAACCTCTTCACCTTCTGAGTGTCAGATAAAACATTCATAGCCTGCTACAAAGTTCTCACACTCTGGAAATGAGGCTGAAAGGCCCTCCAAGGCGCTGACCTGTGACGACTTTGTGTCAGGTCGCTTCCCCACCCCCAGCCTTGGCTCTGGGTAGCCTGTTAGGAAGGTGCCGTCTTGGCTTTTCACTTGCCAGGCCTTGTGCCCTGCCTCAGTCATTTCTGCCCCAGGCGTGTCTGGCCTATGCACGACCACAACCACTGACCAGGCTCTGTAGCCATTGATGCCTGTTATTTATTATTATTATTTTATTTTATTCATTATTATTATTATTTTTAATTGACCTGAGAGAGAGAGAAAGTGAGAAAGCAAACCACCAAGTCCAGGACTTGAACCTTGTTTGGCCATGCGGGAGTCCAACACCTTAACCACCATGCCACCTGCCAGCCCCGATGCCTGGGTTTTTAAGGACAGGGAGGGCATGGACCTAGGAGAGTGCCTCCAATAGCTGGATGACTGAGGTGAAATCACATAGCCCTTTCCCCATGTTCTGGCAGGCCCCTAAATGAGCTTTTTGCATGGTCATTGCACCCAAAGGGGCTCAAGGTTTGCATCTCGTCCTCAGCCTGATTCTGCTCCACGCTGAAAACTAGACCAAACAAGTCTCAGCTCCAAGCTCAGGCTCAATTTGTGCAGGAATTCAGTCAGACAAAGGCCATGGCCCTGCCCTGCAGAGTGTGCAGTACCACATTTGTGTTTGTGTGTGTGCATATAAATGTGTATGTAAGTGCATGTATGATGTGGCATGCATGTACATATGTACATTCATATGTGGAGGTGCATGCACATGTGCTGTGTGTGTGATGTGTATACATGTGTGCACAGCAGGTGTATGCATGTGTGTATGTGTGTGCACATGCATGCACACACGTGTGTTATGTTGTGTGTATACACGTGTGTTGTGTTGCATTGTGTAGGTGTGCTCATGTGTGGTATGCTGTGTGTGTGGGTGCATGTGCATGTACATGTAGTGTATGCATGCATGTGTAGTGTGTACCTGTGCGTGTCCCTGTAGGGGCCACTGCCTGCTCTCCTTGACCTCTTGGCTAGACGTGCAGCCACATTGCCAGCTCAGGCCTCCCTCTCTCTCTGGTGATGGCTGAGCTCCAGCACAGGCATCAGGGTGACCAAGTGTGCTGGTCTTGCCCTGGTCCTCACATCCCATGGTGGCAGCAGGACCCACAGCTGTCCCAGTGGGCTCAGAGGCCATGAGAGCCAGCCCAGCCTTGCCAAGACCTGTCATATCCTCCTTCCACAGGACATGCTGGACCAGTGTCCACTGTTGCTCGCCCTGGTGGGGCTGCTGTCCCTTGGGCCTGGTGAGTTCCGCACCCCACACCTGCGTTCCCATCAGGAAGACTCAAGCCTCCTAGATGGAACTCTGAGGTGCTTAGGCAAGCGGGGCTGCGGGGAGCAGGTCCAGGCACAGCCTCAGTCTCCCTGTACTGGGGCTGTGGCTCCAACCTTCCCCAAGGTGCTCTCTGCACTTCCAGAGGTGGGGGTGGACAAGAGGCCTCTCCCAGCTCCCCCTGAACTGCAGACTCTACCTGGCCCCCCACACTCCCCGGGTCCCCTCTGCCCCACAGCAGGCGTGGCCAGGGTGGGCATGGACCCCTCACTGAGCCTGTCTCCTTCCCCCAGTCCTCCCCCAGGAATGTACCAAGTACAAGGTCAGCACCTGCCGGGACTGCGTGGAGTCAGGGCCTGGCTGCGCCTGGTGCCAGAAGCTGGTAAGAACCGCAGTAGGGCCGGCACCTGCCGCCTCCTCAACCCTGGGATGGCCTGTCCCTGGCTCCAAGGTGAGGTCCCCAGGGCACAATGATGATTTTCTGCAAGGCCACCTGTGCCTGGGAAAGACTGCTAGTAGAGAGTCCTCAGATCTTGACTCCACCCTTCCTGCAAGAGTCCCTAAGGTCATGGACATGAGGTCTATTTAAAAGTACATACATTATTTTTCTCAACCGTTTGAATGTAGGTTGCAGACATGAAGCTCTCTCATCCTTAAGTGCTTCAGGGGTCTTTTTTTTTTTTTTCCCCTAGAGGTTTTCGCTTGCCAAGTGAAAGACAGAGAGAGACAGAGAGACAGAAAGCGAGAAATCACCCCCCAGGGGGGATGGCCATGCAGCAATCCCTTCTCCTCCATTATCCTCTCGGGATCTTGGGCATACATACACATGCTCCCAGCATGAGTTTAAGCCACTGGGTCCAGGACTTGAACTGCGGTCGACTACATGGGAGTCCAGCGACATAGCCATTACACAAACTGCTGGTCCCATTTAGGGATCTTTCTTAAGAACAAGGTACATTTGCAAAACAACATAAGTGTATCCTGATAAATACGTGTGTATTTATATTTGATAAATGTGTTTATCAAAATCTGAAAATTTAACATCGACATCTTTTGATAATCAAATGTATGTCCCTTATACAAATTTTACTAATTATTCCCATCATCGTCTTTGATAGCATGGTTTTTCTTTCCTTTTTTATTTTTTCTTTTTTTATCCCTGACTGATTTCTAAGCCAGAATTATACATTATCTTCTTGAACATGGACTATTGTTCAACTTTCTTGTCTTTCCTATCCTTGCCATTTGTGAAGAATTCAGGACAGCCATTTTGAAGAAGGCCCCTCAACTGGTCTTACCTGGTGTTTCCTTTGATCAGCAGAAGCCGTGCACAGTGATGCTGTGTCCTTGTCACTGTCCTAACACTCGTGGTGCCGCTTGGGTCACTTGGCTAAGACACATTTGCCAGACATCTCACATGATATCCTGTCTCCCTCTGTAGTTAAGAACTCGTTTGTGGGGAGATACTCAGGCTGGCGAACGTTGTGTTCCCATCAAACCAACACCCAGTGATGATTCTTGCCTAAATCGACAATTACTGTGATGGTTGTTCAATGGTGAAGTTCTAGATCCGTCGCTCCTAATGGCTTCTAATGTAAAAGGCTTTCCTCTCTCACATCCACATGGACCCACAGATTTAACTGTGCTATAATACATAACCCATAAATATTGTTTCACTGCCGTGATGCTGAAATAACTCCAGACTTTGCCATAGAGAGCCCCTCCACGCTGGCTATGTGTCCAATCCACGTGTCTCTATCCTTAGTCACTTTGATCACTTTCTTCAAAGACATCGTGCCAGAGGGCACTTACTCATGAGAGAAGCAAAGAGAAAGGGAGAGGGACAAAGGGCCTCTCAGTGGGTATGGTCACTCCACAGTCCCTTCTCCATCTCTGCATTGAGCACTTTCTTACTTTCGGTAGTAACAAGACGCTCCAGGCCCATCTGGGACTTCTCTTGCTCAGAACCAGGCATTTTTCTGAGGGTTCCTGGTTCCTTTTTGTGAGAGGCCTGGCTTATGACATCCTCAGCCTATTTCCTCCTTCTCTGAGTCCTACCATATACAGAAAGTGGTTTCAGAGCAACCAGCCCACCCTACTGCCTCGAGCAATGTGCAAAGGAGAAGTCCAGTGTGGTTTGCATTCTCTCTTGTAATCGAGGGGTGTGGCCAAACCCTGTGCTTCAGTACTCTTAGCTTGATCTTCTCTTCCCTTTCGTGAGGTCCTTATATTCATTTAAGAGCACTATGAGAGACTCGTTTGACCCTGTTGGATTAGACGTTAGGCTTTCTTTTCTTCCCAATCTTTTTATTACTAGTATTTCTTTATTTAATTTTATTTTTTGTTATTATTATTATTATTTTAATTTGATCAAAGAGACAGCGAAAGTGAGAGAAAGGGAAAGTAAGAAAGCAAGCTGCCAGGCCGGCCATGTGGGAGTCCAGCACCTTAACTGCCACACCACTAGCTGGCCCTCCTTTTCTCTCCATTCTTGCTGATGTACTTTTGCTTCTTGTGTAAGTAGAACATCAATATGGTTCCAAAAGTCATGACAGTATAGCAGCACACTCAGGAACTGCCCAGCCATGCTCCTGAGCCCAGTGCCTATTGCCTGTTGGGACCAAGCAACCTCTTCTGGGTTAGACTTCCTGTGCGCCCCTTGGTGGGCGTGAGCGTGCACACTTTGTGCGTTATGGGCTTTGTATCTCCGCATGCTCTGACTTGCCTCTGGAGCAGCAATCCATATTTTGGTATGCCCTCCTTCGCAGTGCCAGGATCATGGCCCATTCTCTTTTTCTCTGCCCTGTCAGAATCCAATGGACTGTGGGACCAGCAGTTAGCGTAAAGGCTATGTCGCTGAACTCCCATGTAGCCTACTGCAGTTCGAGTCCCAGACCCAGTGGCTTAAACTCACTCTGAGCGCGTGTGCGTGCGTGCCCAAGATCCCGAGAGGAGAATGGAGGAGAATAGATTGCGGCATGGGGATCCCTCCTCGGGGGTGATTTCTCGCTTTCTATCTCTCTGTCTCTCTGTCTTTCTGGCGAGTGCACACACCTTATAGCAAAAACCTCTCAAAAAAAAATAATAAATAAAAAAGAATCCAGTGGACCTTTAGGGGGAACGAAGTGGTCAAGAGGAAAGTGCCCTGGACCCAGGAGCCCCACAGTCCGCTCCACTGCCCGTCTTCCATTTCCTTCTAGACTGGGAAGGCCTTGTCCTAGAGCCTTGACCTGGGTTCCTGGGGTGCCTCGGGCTGCCACACTGACTGAGAGCGGACACCTGCATTCCCTGGGGACAGAGCAGCTCCATCAGGCAAAACAGACTTCAGGCAGCTGCTAAACCATGCTGAGGCTTCTTTCCCCTAGGCCCTGTGCTGGAGACACCTGTGCCAGCAGGGGGCGTGTACCCTAGCAGCCACAGGAAGAAGCTGGAGCCTTAGGTCTTCCTTGACTGACTGTCCAGCGACCTCAAACCCATAGGGACTCCTATCCTGAGTTCTGCGTGTAGAGAAAAGAGGGACAGGCCTCAGTTCCTAAGGGTCTGCCAGCCAGCACAGCTCATTGTAAACCTCCTCCCCACCCAACTCCCCCTCCTGCAGAATTTCACTGGGAAAGGGGAGCCGGACTCCATTCGTTGTGACACCATGGAGCAGCTGCTGATGAAGGGCTGTGCAGCTGATGACATCATGGACCCCAGGAGCTTCGCTGAGACCCAAGTGGACCGGGCCCAGCGCCAGAAGCAGCTGTCCCCACAAAAAGTGACGCTTTACCTGAGGCCAGGTATGCTTGGCCTACACTGGGGTGAGCTGGGCACCCCCAAGTGCTGGTTGTTCCAGCTCCAGCCTGAGCTCAGCCCTGCTCTGGGTGCCATAGCTGACCACGTGGGGCCTGTGTCCAGGTTGGGCAGCCGATGAGGACCAAGGACTGCTGGGACCCCATGAGTGAGTCTGAGCTCCACTCAGCCCTTCCTCTCTCTGCCCAGGTGGATTTCCCCAACCCCACTGTCTGCAGCCAAGGCTCTGGGCCTCAAGGCTCTCCTTAGCTCTGTGTTCTGCATTTTTTAAATTTTTAATTGCTGGAGGGCATGTATACTGTCAGAGAAAGACAGAAAGAGGGAGAGGGAAAAAGCACCCCTCAGTGGGTCTTCGTCCTGCTGCAATCCCTTCTCCTCTATGTCTCTATCGGCATGTACACACATACCTGATGTATTTTTAAGCTACTATGGTCAGGATTGCAAAAATCTGGCTCCCTTAACCACAGGTTATGGGGCCAGTCCTCTTTTCTTAAAAGGGAAAACTGGGGTCAGCAGGTGGCATGGTGATTAAGGTCACTGAGACTCCCACGTGGCTGACCGTGGTTGAGGCCCAGACCTAGTGGCTTGCTTTCTCACTTTCTTTCTCCTTCTCTGGTCAAATTAAAATAAATAAATAAATAAATTTAAATAAAACAATTCTTTAAAAGGGGGGGAGGGGAAACCATTTGGAAAGCATTTTGCTATCTCCCCTCTCAGAAGGCATGGTACTCTTGCTATGGTTAAGGCTCTGATAAGTCCTGAAGCAAGGAAACCTGAGTAATTGTTTAAACCCAGGGTGGCCCAAAATGCCTAGGCCACAGAGCCCTGTTTCAGTATATAGCTCCCTGGCAGTGCTTGGAGAAGAACCCTCCAAGGCTGCAGGTGTGGGGGCCAGTGGGTAAGAGCACATGGCCAGTGTGGGCTGGCTCCATGCTGACCACCTCTGGCCCTCACTGTGGGACCTGCCAGGTTACTGACATCTCTGTGCACTGCCATCTGGGAGAAGGCTGAGGGCAGCTCCCTAGGGAGGAGTAGAGGGGTTGGTGGTGCAGCCTTAGAGGAACCAATGGGCTATGTTTAGTACTGCCCTCAGGGAGCACGGGTCCCCTGAGTAAGAACTGAGACATGGGCCACAGTGACAAGTTGAGAAACAGCTAGTGGCAGCCGGGAGGCCAGGAGGATAGGAAGGGAAGAGAAAGTAAAAGAAGGGAAGGGGAGAGGTGGGAAGAGAAGAGAAGGGAAAGGACCCCTTGGTCGGCCTACAAAGGCCCATATTTGTGAAGTGTTACTGGAGCATGGCCATGCCCATTCACAGCTGTATTTTCACCAATGGCCACAGACACCATAAGGCTGCAGACACCATATGGCCACAGACACCATATGGCTGCAGACACTCTATGACCGCAGACACCATATGGTTGCAGACCCTCTATGACCGCAGACACCATATGGCCACAGACACCATATGGCCACAAAGCCAAAATCATGGACACTTCCTGGAAAATATTTTAGGCTAAATGGAACCATGGAGAGCTGAGAGGTCTAGCAAGGGGCAGGCCAGGAACACTGCTTGTGAGGCCCAAGGATGCACACTGTGTGTGGGTATGTGTGTGTGGGTGCGCTGTACATGCTATGTGTGTCCAGTGTTGAGTATGAGTGTGCGCTATATGCGTGTATGTTTATATGTCCATCAGGTGTGTAGATATGCACGGTATGTGTTTGGCGTGTGCATGTATGGTGTGTGTGTGTTTATTTGTGTGTAATGTGTATATATGCTAATGTGTATGTATGCTATGTGTGATTGTGTGTGCATGTGGAGGGTGTGTGTGTGTGTACACACACTTTCTCCCAGGGTGCCGCAGTCAGGCAGAGCAAGGACAGGGTCCGCACATTATCCCCTCTCTGTGGCCGACTGCCAAGTAAGGAGCTGAAGGCTGGAGGGCGGGCGGGTGGGCAGAGGGGACTGGTCCAACTACGGTCCTCATATGAATGTGGGGACACATATTCAGTCCACACACATGAACACTCCTGTATTTGGGAGTGTGTGTCCTTTCCCTGGAACTCATATCGTTGGTGTCGAGTCTTACCCGCAGCCCCCTGCCAGGCTGTGGTAAAGGGCATTGTTGGGGGGCATTGGTGCAGAGCCTGCCTGGGTCTTCAGAGCCACTCACTCTCATCCCTGTGGCAGGGCCGGGGGCGGCGTTCAACGTGACCTTCCGTCGGGCCAAGGGCTACCCCATCGACCTGTACTACCTGATGGACCTCTCCTACTCCATGCTCGACGACCTCATCAACGTCAAGAAGCTGGGTGGCGACCTGCTCCGGGCCCTTAACGACATCACTGAGTCCGGCCGCGTTGGTGAGGCCTGTGGCCCCTGCAGGCTGGGAGCTCGGTCCTTTTCCTGATCCCAGGAGCCCAGCCCCCACCCCCTCCACAGTCACAGGTCCCAGGCAGGGCACGGGGGCTCCAGAGAGAGTGAACCCCCAGGGAGGCCACAGGGCTGAGTACGGCCTTTGTCCCTGCCCGAACCCCCAGGGTGTCCACAGGGCTGAGTACGGCCTTTGTCCCTGCCAGGGGCCACGCCCAGTCCCTGATTCCCCAGACTGTGGACATCACTCAGTTCTGCATTTCCGCTTCCTCCTTCTTTTATTTATTTGCCAGTATCTTTAAAGAGGAAAGTCTTGTGGTGCTAAAAGACTTATAGTGCTAATTACTAAAACTTAAAGACCACAAAATAGACTACACTGTAGTTCTAGCGTTAAAGAAACAGTCACAGCAAACTGCAGGCTGAGGGGTCTCCTGTGCTTGACAGGCCCTGACTCACAAAGGGCAAGTTTCAGAAATGCACGTGTGTAAGGGACAAGGGGACTCCTCAGCCACCCAGCACTGCCCCCAGACAGCACGCTGCCTCCTCCTCTACACATAGGGATGTGCGCATGCACACTGGGACATGTGACTGCATGCTCACACGCTTTCTTGTGCATGCCATGTCCACATGTACACTGACATAGTCATACTCACACATATACAAGATCACACATGTATACCCACACTCATGCTGTCACATAATTTCCCACACACACACACAAGTGCCTGACACACACAGTCCCACAAGTGCCATCTCCATGCTCTGCTACAAGATAGGGAAACTGAGTCTTTTATATCTCAAGACTCCCCTCCTGTCTGGGGCCTGCCTGCCACCTTGTGCCGCCCTTGTACACCGCTGCCTCACACCATGTGTCCCTTAGGCTTTGGGTCCTTCGTGGACAAGACTGTGCTGCCCTTCGTCAACACACACCCTGAGAAGCTGCGGAACCCGTGCCCCAACAAAGAGAAGGAGTGCCAGCCCCCCTTTGCCTTCAGGCACGTGCTGAAGCTGACAGACAACTCCAACCAGTTCCAGACAGAGGTGGGGAAGCAGCTGATCTCCGGCAACCTGGACGCCCCCGAGGGTGGGCTGGACGCCATGATGCAGGTCGCCGCCTGTCCGGTGAGATGCTGTGCTACCAGGGCCCAGATTCCCCCCCTACCACCACACACACACACTTGAAACCCCCCTCTAGAACTGCACAGCTGGCCCTCTAGCTAGCAGGTTGCCCCATCTAGCCTCTCACCTGCCAGCCTGGGCCTGGGGAGAGCCACACTCCCAGGCACCTCTCCGCCCCCCAGGCAGGACAGCAAGCCAGTGAGGGCAATCGGGGGGAGGGCGACACCCCAGAAATCACCCACAGACATCATTGCTGACTTGTGACCCAGCTTGCCTGTGAAGCCTAAACATCATGCGAGTAACGGTGGGTACAGCAGGACTCGGGCAGCCTGCTCCGGGTTCCTGCAGCACAACAGCCCCTCCTCCCTTCCAGGCCAGAGGGTGTGTGTGCCCTCCCCAGGGTCCCCACCTGCCTCTATCCCGTGGGCCGTATTCACACCACAAGGACCGGGACTCTAGGTCTGCACACGCTGCACCCCGGCAAGCCACTCTCACCCCAGCGTCTGCACCTGGCATGCCGTGGCCATGGTGTGGACACCTGGACTGGGGTTGGCGTGAGGTCACAGCCCAGCGTGTGTGAGGCCCGCACACGCCTGCTCAGGACACCCTGCAGTACTTGGCCTCCCCGTGGTTTTCCTACAGCTCCCTTCTCTCCTGCACTGCGACATCTCCACATTGCAGGGAATGCTTCTGGAGTGCCTTTTCCTCGGGATTATTCCCTTAGGGTTTACCCCAGGTCTGGAATGATGGGGCTGCAGAGGTTGTCTCTTCTTAAACCCAAGCATGCTTTTGCATCCCCTCACTCCTTATACTTATAGCAGCATTTTGTAAACTGTCATCTCTTTTTTTTAATCTCTAGAAGGCACATACACTTGCTAGAGAGAGACAGAGGGAGAGGAGGAAAGCATATCTCACGGGGTGTGATCCCCCTGCAATGCCTTTTCCTCCACTTCTTCATCCTGGTAGGATGTGGTGCACTCATGCACACACACTCAGCCTGGGTGTTTTTCAAGTCACTGGGGCCAGGATTCAAACCACGGTCAGCCATGTGGGATTCAGCTCTCTCAAACACTGTGTTAATGGGCAGATCTCAGGCTCCCTTGGGTCGCTTCCATTTGGGTTGGGCATGAGGACACCATGAGAAGCTGCTGTTAAAGCCAAGAGAGGAAGGGCAGCTGCCTGGACTCCAGGCTGTGCAAAGCCTAGCTGGGGAGAGCAAGGCAGGTGACCCCGTCTTCTTCTCAGGAGGAGATTGGCTGGCGCAACGTCACGCGACTGCTAGTGTTCGCCACGGATGATGGCTTCCACTTTGCGGGCGATGGGAAGCTGGGTGCCATCCTGACCCCCAACGATGGGCGCTGCCACCTGGAGGACAACATGTATAAACGCAGCAATGAGTTTGTGAGTGTCCCCAGAAACTTGGAGGGCACCTGGCAGAAGGGCAGGGACACTGGAATTCACTGTCTTGCTGGGCAGGGAGCCATGAGAGAGAGGGGAAGGACATAGCAGGGTCCCATTTGAGCACCTCACCAGAGCCTGGCTTCCTCCTTCTGACTTAAACTCATTAAGAAACTTCTGGAATCCTCAAAGACAATGTCAGTTCTCTTGGGACTCAGCCCCAGGATGGGGAGGGCCCAGCAGAATCTGACCTATGACCTTAGATGCAGTAACTACCCCCTACCCCTTACCCCAAGCTGGGGTCCCCTCCCCAACATCCAAGGGTCCATCTTCTGTCTGGGCCCTGAGCTGACCTTCATTCCTTCCCTCCTTTCTGGTGGGCCCTTTCATGATACCAGTGAGCATCTGGGCTGGGACGAGACCACAGATACTACTGAGGAAAATGGCACTGGGGAAGGAGGGGTGGGAAGGAGCTCAGGGCTTTGAGTTAGAAGCGTGAAAATTCCTACCCTCAGGCAGGGGTGCTTAACAGCATGGAGAGGTCAGGGATTCTCGGGTTTGGAGGCCAACCCTGGGCCTAATGGCACCCCCTCACGGGGTGTGTCCCAGTACTAGCTGGCTGTGATAGGATGCTCTCATGTCCTGAAGCTGCAAACACCAGGTGCTGCAAAGGGTTTCAGAGATGGTACCGACGGGGATCCTCCATCGGGGCACACAGACTCCTGGTTGCTATAGGTAGAATTCACCGTGTGAGATGGGACAGGAAAAGGTGACATCATGTGTTTGTGAGTCTCTACCTGAAACTGAGTACCCATCAGTAATGAGGGTAGGTGCCACCGTGGTGGGGTGGTGTCTGAGATTCTGCCCCCAACAGAAATCCTGGGTATTTCCCTAGCACCCCATGGTGTGCACCCTTCAAAATGTTGACCTTAACACAGGAGCCACTAGATTCCTTATCGCCAACTCATCTGAAAGCACATTTCGACTCTGTATTTCCTTAACTGCTTCAGTGTCGTCGTCCCCTCATGATCCTGTGATTTCATGGCATTTGCAACCTCATTCGGAGAAGCCCGCTGGGTGGCACGTGGAGGCTGAGCCCGAGCAGAGGCTGCTGACTCTGGGTCTGGGCAGCCGCTTCCACCAGGCAGAGCAGATGGGAGGCCTGGGAAGGCTTATCCCTGTCCCCAGCTAACGGCGTCTCCTCTCCCCAGGACTACCCATCGGTGGGCCAGTTGGCACACAAGCTGGCCGAAAGCAACATTCAGCCCATCTTTGCGGTGACCAAGAGGATGGTGAAGACCTATGAGGTGGGTGGAGTCGGGGCTGGGCAGCACGGGTGGTCCTCACTGTTTCAGCTGAGTGAGGACAAGACCAGCACCACCCCAGGCCCAGGTTCTGCTCTGCAAGCGGGGCGTGTGGGCAGCTGACCTGGCCAGGCCGCGGCTTCCAGGCGTGAGCACGGTACTGAGGGAGCCTGTGGCTTCCTTTGGGTATTGGGACATCAATGTGGGGGCACAAAACAATTGTCCCTGTCCTTGAAATTCGCTGACACCAACAGTGTGGGTCTAGACACTGGTGGCGGTATTTCCATTTTTGTTGGAACACGACTCTAGGATCTGCCAATCTGATACTTTATTTTAGGAAAAAATCTTTGTTTTAGACTTGCACACATGTGATGTAAACATTTTTTTATGAAGCTATATATGAGAAAGTTTGAAAGGCTTAAATGTAGAGCCTAGTGAACTTCACTGAGGAAATAGTCAAGGACCATTCTCTGCATTGAGGAGACACCCCTGAGGCTCCCTGGGTCACAGCCTCCACAGAGATCCTGCTGGTGCTCACAGAGGACATTTCCAACCTCCATCCCGGGGGGTGGAGCAGTCTTCAACACAAGCCTCGATTAGCAGGAGTTGGAACCAAAGCTGTCTAAGTCTCAGGAGAACGTGTGTTGGGCGTTTCTGAGCCTTCCTGAGCAGGTGCTCTCTGGGGCTAGGGTCATGGCACTAGGTCTGTTAATAGCCGTGAGTGCCTGGTCTTGCCGCAGAAACTCACCGAGATCATCCCCAAGTCGGCTGTCGGGGAGCTGTCCGAGGATTCCAGCAACGTGGTCCAGCTCATCAAGAATGCCTACAATGTGAGTGCCCCATGGCAGTCACCAGGTGTGGGCCAGTCAGAATCCACCATGCTGGCTGGCAAGACTGCCCTCCCACTACAGGTTATAGAAGGGTGGCCAACAGAGGAGAGCCCCTGCCTTGTAGGAGCCCCGCAACCTCCTGCAGCCCCTGTGGGACTCTCTCAGGCCCTCGGGACACACTGGGTTGGCCACCTTGCACAGGGCAGCCCTGAGTCTTCTCTTGCTGATGACATTGGCATGTGCAACCCAGACTCCCCCTGAGCACACCTAGAACATGAGTCCCAGGCTCTCCATCAGGCTCTTCCCTGCTGGCCCCATGGAGAAGTGGGGGCTGGGCAGCTGGGTGCAGATAATGCACCTGGGGTGGGGGAGGAGGCCCCAGAAACAGGACCCTATGGAGACACTCAGGGTGCACTGGCTTGGGAACCACCTTCCAGTCTTGTCAGAGACACTTCTTGCAGAGACCCTGCCACCCTCTGCCTTCTGGGCACGCAAACCAAAGGTGGCTCCCTCTGAGGCCCACGGGTTCTGTGTGCATAGGCGCAATGATGGGCAGGTCCCTGTGCTCCGAAAATCCACCCCAAGTGAGACCTCCGGGGAGTCCGGTCTGAGAGTCCTCCAGGCTGGCTGTCCTGGTGCCTTGACAGCATGTTCAGATATCTAATAAACGCTGTCACTGAGATCAATCAGAGCCCTGTGACAAGGTTCCAGTCACCCTTGTAGCCTCTTGTGAGCCCCAAGTCCCCAAAGCAGGGCCCCTGCACTCATCGCTGTGGGTCCGAGATTCCATCTTTACCTGGAGGACCTGTGCCCCTACTGTGGGCTCGCTCAGCTGGTGTTGCTCTCTCTGTCTCTCTCTCCATCTCTGTCTCTCACCACTTCTACATGCAGCCCAGCTCCCACCCCCAGACACTGTGCACTCAGTGGGGAGGGGGGCAGTTCAAGCCCTTCTCATGGGGCTGACCCATGACAGTTGGCCTGTCCTGGGGGCAGGACTGGCTGGCAGTCTGCTGTCCCTGTCACACCCTTCTGAGCCCCTAGAAGACTTGGTTGTCCTCCCTTCATACTGGGGAGGGGAGGGAATGAGAAATGCAGACGGGTCCAAACCACAAGGGCAGCATATGACACGTCCCCAAGCCTGGCTGCTCTCTGCCCACAGAAATTCTCCTCCAGGGTCTTTCTGGATCACAACACCCTCCCCGACAACCTGAAGGTGACCTACGACTCCTTCTGCAGCAACCGGGTGTCCCTCATGAACCAGCCCAGAGGGGACTGTGATGGTGTGCAGATCAACGTCCCGGTGAGTGACCGAGGGTGTCCATCCCAGCTTGGGAAGGGCCAGCCAGATGGAAGGTGCACCCGGGCAAGCTGAGGCCTCTGGGGGACAAGCAGGACAGGGAGTGGCCAGCATCTCCCATCCAGGCCAGTTCATGTAGGTTCATGTCCTCAGTGTCAAGGAGAGGGTCCGCAAGGACACACGCCCTCCTTGGCCCTTGGTGTCTTATTTCACAATGCAAGAGAGGGGCACCCAAGTCCCAAAGTGGGCCCAGCGTGGGACACAGACCAGCAATGACAGTGCCCCCAGGCCAGCGCTGGACATGCCCAGCAGGGCAAGATAAGTCTGGCTTAGTCTGTTTTCCTGATTTTTGTTTGTTAACCATTAAGGCATGGGCCACAAGGTGCCCAGAAATGGGCACTGAATTATATCTCTAGTAATTCAGATTGAATTATTCAGGGCTGGCTCCTTAGCCTAGCGGTTAAGAGAGTGGGATCCCACATGGCTGACCTCAGTTCAGATCCCAGCCACATGGATGATAAAGCATGTCAGGCACATATGAGTGTGCCCCAAATCCCAATGGGATGAAGAAATGGAAGAGAAGGGATTGTGGCATGACTATGCCCCACTGTGGGATGCTTTTTCTCTCTCCCTGTCTCTCTCCCTCTCTCTTAAAATAAGTGGCAAATCATCCCCTACAACGTCACTTTAGACTTCCTTTACTGCATGAGTGGCCAGAAGTATTCGAAGCCTCCAGAAGCCCACTGGTCCCGCTGCTGCCTTCTACATCAGTCTGCAGATCCTGAGCTCAGCTCTCACTCCTCCTTATCCCGGGAGCGTTCCAGGGTAGCCCCTCCTGCTCTTTCATCTGCTCCCTCCCGGGGCCTGGCAGAGGCCAGCACCCTCCAACCCAGAAAGCCCCCATGACTATACAGGCCAGGCAAGGGAACAGGAGCAAGGTCTTGACCCCAGTCACTGGAGCATCCACACCTGAGACTTCTCTCCCCCACAGATCACTTTCCAGGTGAAGGTCACAGCCACAGAGTGCATCCAGGAGCAGTCCTTCACCATCCGGCCGCTGGGCTTCACGGACACAGTGACCGTGCGGGTCCTTCCCCAGTGTGAGTGCCAGTGTCGGGACCAGAGCCAGGACCGCAGCCTCTGCAGTGGCAAGGGCTCCCTGGAGTGTGGTATCTGCAGGTGAGGCGGGTGCAGGCCCACAGCGCCCACCCCACCCTGCAGGGCAGGTGTCTACAGGTGAGGCTGGTGCAGGCCCATGGCATCCACCTCCGACCCACAGGGCAGGTGTCTGCAGGTGAGGCAGGGGTCTGCAGGTGCCCATGGCACCTGCCCCAGGCACCATCACACAGAGAAAGTGGAGAGAAATTTGAACCCAGAGCCCCTCCCCAAGCCCTTGCCCTTGCCCTGGCTCTGACCCAGGGTATCTTCGACAACACCAACCTGTGCTCCCCATTGTCTGGCCATGGAATGCCCAAGGCAGGGGGCCTGGCACGCAGGAGATGGAGACCCACCTCAGGAGTGTGAGGAGCTGCACGGGAGGTGCTGTGGCCTGGGGCAGGCCACTCTGTCTGCCTCACTTGTTTCCTATGGGGCTG